ATAAACATTCTTTTCTTTCCCATATGGTTTATCACAGGATAGTGAATAAAGTTCCCTGTGCTATATAGTAGGATCTTGTTGTTTGCCCATCCTCTATATAATAGTTTATATCAGCTAATTCCAGACTCCCTGTCCTTCCCTCCCCATCTCTCCTCCAGCTTGCCAGTCACAAGTCTGTTCTCTACATCTGTGAGTCTGTCTCTGTTTTGTAGATAATAGGTTCATTTTTTTGCCTATTTTAGATTCCACATATAAGTGAAATCATATGGTATTTGTCGATTTCTTTCTGACCTACTTCGTTTAGTATGATCTCTAATTGCATACATGTCGCTGCAAATGGCACTTCATTCTTTTTTATGGCTGGGTAGTTTTCCTTTGTATATATACCATGTGTATATATACCATCTGTCGATGGACATTTAGGCTGTATCCATGTCTTGGCTGTTGTGAATGGTGTTGCTGTGAACATACGGGTGCATGTATCTCTTTGAATTAGAGTTTTGTCTAGATATGTGCCCAGGAGTAAGATTGCTGGATCATATGACAATTCTATTTTTAGTTTTTTGAGGAACCTCCAGTACTGTTTTTTGTAGTGGCTTAAGGTCCTGCTGCTTTAATGCAGTTTCCCACCTCAGCCTTATCCTGCTTAATTTCCTTGTCAGAGTCCCGTTCAAGAAGTAAACTCCTTTAGGTTCTGTCTTTTTCAAAGCTATATGCCATGTGCCTAGTACAATCCCGTGTGTAGGAAAGGAGGCGTGATAGACCTTGAGGTTGGAGAAGCAGAGATGAGTGAGGCATACCCTCTCTCTAAGGAGTCTATGGGACGATAAATGAGAGGACCAGCATGCATGTAATACAGTTGGTGGAAGGAAAGAGAGTGTGGTATTGGGAGGGAGGGGCAGAGTATTGCGAAAGCCTAGGTTATAAGGGAGAATTGTAGTGTTTTAATGGGTACTGGGATGTGATGAAAGCAAACGGGCCTCACAGAGACCCAGGGTTGAATGCTAGCTCCATGTCCAATGAACTCTGTAAACTAGAAGCTCTGTGGCTTGGGTGGAGTTCACCTCTCTGGACCTGTTTCACTACCTCTAAAATATACACTTACCTCAGAACTCTGTTAGGAGAAATAACATAATTTTTAAGTATCTAGCACAGAAGTTAGTTTATTGCAGGTACTCAGTAAACATGAATTTTCCCTTAGAATAAGGATTGAGCACTTTGAAATCTCATCTGGGACTTCCCTGGTGGCGCGTTGGAGAAGAATCTGCCTTCAGGGGCAGGGGACAAATGTTTGATCCCTGGTCGGGGAAGATTCCAGATGGCACGGAGCAGCCTGAGCCCACTGCGCCGCAACTGCTGAGCCCGGGCTCTCGAGCCCGTGCACTGCTCCTGAAGCCCCCACGCCTCGAGCCTGTGCTCTGTCCCAGGAGAAGCTGTTGCAGCGAGAAGTCCCAGCTCCGCAGAAAGAATAGCCCCCACTGACTGCCGCTGGGGAAAGCCTGCACGCAGCAACGAAGACCCAGCGCAGCCAAGGATAAAGAAAATAAAAATCACATTAGAATGTTTTCCTGAGTGTTAGGAATTTATTGGAAAATATCCCAAAGAGGAGGGCATGGATGTGAATGAAACATACGGGGAGAGAAGAGAGAATTAAGAGTGAATGGACATGGTGGTGGTAGATTTTTAACTTGTTGAAAATGTAATTTTCAGTACTATTATAAAACATAAAGAAGACATACTTCACAATTTATGTATCTATTTTCTTGTTTACTTCTAGAGAGTTTCTAACTAGTTTATCTCTGAGAGGCTGGAGACACATCCCTCTCTCTGTCTGTCTCTCTGACACATACTCACATGCAGACACACACACACCATTTATATTTACAAACTCAAATCTTATTGTTTTTGCTTTGATGCAATTACTTGTAAAGCTTTATTTTTCAAAAAGGGACAAAGAAGGATAAACACTTTTGAATATGAGATTTATGTTTAATGTGATCAAAGTAGAGAAGTTGAGAACAAGATGGGTTCCAAGTAAGACAAATACAATACAATACACAATGTAATACCTCCCCATCCATAGCAGGGAATGTAAACACTGTAGAATGTGATGCAGAATAAACATTTCAAAAGCATGGCAGAAAACATTTTGGGGATCTGATGAGCCATCCATTAAGGAGAGGAAGAGCCTAACAAAGTGCCAGTCACATGCAGTTAAGTATCAGGAAACTGTTTCCAGACTGTATGACATGGTTGAGATGGGGAGAGCTCAGAGACTGCCAAGAGGGAACAGTAAAAATAACAGTGCAATTTGGGAGTGACCCTAATTAAATAGGAATAAAGCCTTGAAATTAAACAGAATAATTAGCCTTGAGAAAAGAAGTCCTAGAGGAGAATCATCTTGTCTTTCTTCATTATAAAAAAAAAAAAACAATGTTGAAAATGGGCAATTTCAGTACCTGCAGGCATTTAAAACTGAAATTCATTTTAGTTCTCCCTCATTCATTCATTCAGAAAATGGATTTCAGGTCTTTGTCATGATGGTGAAGTCATCCAAGTGGTAAAGGGGGTGTCCTGGGATTTAGTGATTCTTAAGATTTAGTGATTCTTAGGGGCGATGCGTGGCATTTAGCTGGTGACAGTGTGGAGCACGGCTCAGGAGATACAGTTCCAACTCTATGTTCCAGGATAGATTATTTTCTCCAAAAAAGCACTCATGGGGACCGTGTGACGTCCGTGCAAAGCTTGACTGATACTCATGCTACAGCTTTCTACTGGCCTGCCTCGAGTGTGTTCACGTGCACCAGGACCCCGTCTGATAGCAAAGGCTGTCATATGGGAATTGTTAAATACGTTACGGTCTAAACTGTGGGATATAATTAAGGGTATTAAGAAACATGATACTTATTATTTAAGAGAAGGTAGGAAAATATCCAAGATAACACTGCTCAAAAGGGAGGAAAGAGTATTAGCATAACATTTAATTGTGATCTCACATGTGTGGGGGAGTATATGTGTATATTCAGATGAATATGGCTGCAAGTCCATCACGCACCGTCTATGTACCTGCAGGCTATGCTGTAGGGAAGACCAAGAGTGAGAGGAGACGGGGGGTGTTGGGGGGGGAACCTCTTATTTTTATTCCATGTTTTTTTATATGCTTCACATTTTTACAACATCCGTGGCCTTCATTTTGTAATTTAAATAAGAAATGAGATAATATCCATGAAGCTTGGAGCATAACATCTGCCATGTGGCCGGCAATAAATGCTAATTGGATATTAATAGGATGGCAAGAAAATATGACTTGCTCAGAATGACTTAATCTGCATATAGCATCATATTGATGGTTGTATAAATAAGTATTTTCTCTCCCTGCTAAAATGAAATATTTTAAATTACGGTTAATAGATTTTAGGTTAAATATGTTATTCTGCTCACTTAATCACTTAGGATTTAATTATTCGAAGAGAAGTCTTGAACAGGAAGCCTTCCAAATCTAGGTAACATCAGACTTTGTTTAAGCAACAGAAATTTCCCCTCAGCTATTAGGGTTTTATCTTTAGAGTGCAGGAGTGAGTGCTAATCTGCTTCAGTCATGTCCCACTCTTTGTGACCCTGTGGACTGTGGCCTGCCAGGCTCCTCTGTCCATGGGATTCTCCAGGCAAGAATACTGGAGTGGGTTGCCATGCCCTCCTCCAGGGAATCTTCCCAACCCAGGGATCGAACTTATGTCTCTTTATGTCTCCTGCATTGGCAGGTGGGTTCATTACCACTAGCACTACCTGGGAAGCCCATCTTTGGAGTAGTAAAGTTCAAAAATATTTAACATTCAGAATTCATTATTTTCTGTTGTTGAAAACCAAGATCAAATCATTTTCCTTATGGAAATCCATACCACAACAACCAATATATATTCAGTAAATTGAATTTAAATTTGATTTTGTGGAACTTTTTATTATAAAAAATTTGAAATATACTGTAAGTAGATCATCTTGTATTATATTTATTTAATCATTCTAGTTTTGTGAAAAGTTATGAATAAATTGAATTGAAAATCAATTTTTTTCTGAAATATATTGAGAACCTCTCTTAGAATTCTTCCTGATGAGTTGCTTTGCAATTAGAAGAACCATTTACAATTTGAATTAACATGTTCACAGTTATCTTCTGGGCAAACTGAGCCTTCTACCTAAAGCAAGATCTTCCTAAAGTGAGATACTGTTGTTCCGAGATGATAGACCAAGTTGGGATTCAGAACATGAAAACTTCAAATTATTTCTTTTTATATGCTGACTGTATTACTAAGTATCTTAAAACTTATTTTTCTGTCTTTATTTTTATTGGGTTGATGTGGCGAAAAAATTTTTCCTATGATGACATAGTATATTTTAATAATTATACTTCCTTAATTTTTTAAGACCCTTATATTTTTTCTTTTGCATGCTTCTAAAATAGATTTAATATTTTCTAACCCTGATCTCCTGAGAAGCTAATTTATATATTGTGTTAGAATTGATGAAGTTTGGCATGTGATATTTTGTATTAAAGATATAAGGCAAAATTGAGGTACTATCCAAGTAATCAACTTCTAAGACATCCCCCCCTCACGCCCCCACCACACCACCCCAAGAAAAGAATTTAGCAAAAGTAAATGGTGGTGTTTTCACAGTTCATCACCATACACTTATTCTCCAGTCTCTCAGTTGGAAAGTGACCTCCTCCTCCCATGGACTTTTCAATAGTGGGGATTTGGTGGTGGTATGTTTTCAAGTTTGCTTTTGGGGAAGTAACTGTTTTGTTCTTTCCCTCTTGGGAATGTCTACAAATAAATAACATGAAAGTGAACCTTCTGTATTCCACTCGTCTTGCATTGTGCATCCCTCTGTTTCTTGGCAAAGGAACCAACAACAGGGACAAAGGGCTGCCTTGAGTGTGTGATATTTCTAACCTGCTGAAAGCACAGAACCAAACTTGCCATCTTCGTTTCCATTCCCAGATTACGCTCGATTTGAGGCCAAAATCCATGACCTACGAGAGCAGATGATGAACCACAGCATGAGCTCCGGGTCCGGGTCCCTGCGAACCAATCAGAAGCGTTCCCTCTATGTCAGGTAGGCGACAGCGGGTCTGGGTCCCTGCGAGCCAATCAGAAACGTTCCCTCTGTGTCAGGTAGGCGACAGTGTGTTTCTTACTGGGACCTGCACTTGGGAGCCCTCAGCCCGGGGAGACCCCGCAACACCTTGTAGCAAGGGGACACGTGTTCTTCATTAACCCACGCTCGCCAGTACACCACTGTAAGACCTTACGTTTAACCATTGTGAAGAAGCTTTTGAAATGTTATTAACTATGTTAAATTAGTTAAGGTCCTCTGCTCTTAACAAGTTCTTTGACCATGTTGTGATCCAAGGTAAAGTTATTAGCACAGGTTGTAGTAAAAATAGTGAGAAGAAATATTTTCAGTTCAGATGCATCTTAAACTGAATATATGGGCTGAAGTACTGGACATCTGCTTACCATCAGTATGGGAATAAAATATTCTCATATTTCTTCCTGGCTCACTTGACCCCTATCCTATTAACTTTGGTGTATTGATTAGAAATCAGTACTCTCTCGAACAGTTATGTCGTTTTTTTCTTAAAGTTTGGTAGAATGACTTTTTTCTGTGGCATCTCATTACAAATTGTTTTTCAAACCATAAATGTTACTTGTTCCTTGCCTGACAAAACTCATTAACTTATCAGAAAAAAAAAGATGATTGATTTAACTTGAAATGCCTTCTGGTCTTTCATCCCCATAATTAATTCTTGAGTAAGGTCCATCATCACTCAACTGTAACATGCACCTCTTCTTAGCATAAAACCTCCTATATTCCTCTCAAAATATACTTTATCAGTGCTGACTCTAATTAAAAAAACCCCAGAAAACAATACACTATAAAAGTTCAATAAATTTGAAATACCCAGTTCTTTATTAAAAAATAATGCATCATATTTCTTTGAGGATTTTATGTCATATTAGAGCATTAATTTCTATTTTTTTCACAGAATTAGGAAAATCTTCCTAATTCCTATAGGAAACTATTCCTCATTCTGCTACCATTCAATTAAAAAGAAATGATGACTTATAATAATAAGAATGATATTGTAAGTATTAATGGCCAAAGTAGGATAGTGATGCCCAGTTAATAGTGAAAATGAATCCAGGTACCATTGGGGGAACCACGCCCATCCTCACTGTATTCTCTTGGGATCTGGGTCCCACTTAGGGTCCCCACTTAGGGTCATATCCTTTAGACCTGAAATTTCACCATCTTGTCTTGACAAGAGGTGCATGTTACAGACATTCGTTTGTAGTATACTTAGATAGATTTGTCCTGTTGGTCTCGTTGTGGCTATAAGGAATCCTTTGTGTGCCTTAGGTAGGTACAGCAGGGCTAAGGAGGGAGGAGGATTCCAGAAGGCAGCAGTTTCTCGAAGGCCTTGGTTTGCTGGCCTCTCTGACAAGCATAGAGTCCCTTCTTATTCCAGGGAGCTCCAGTATCTCAAAAGCCCTGATATTTAAATTAAAAAAATCAGAATATGAATATCCCAAATTTGTTCAACTGCATTTTTGAAGATTATTTTGGTCCATGTCTGTGTAACCTGTTAGAAGGAAGTATTGAGAACCACCCTAGGACATGCCTTGTAGTGACATCACAAATACGACGGAAAGCAGCTGTTTCTGTTTCTCCTCACTTGTGTTGTATTGCTGGTCTTGTGATATAAAATATTTTCTAAATCCTGAAATGCTTTAGTCTTGGGTAGCAAATTAGGAAAAGTCAACTAAGTTAATAGGATAGAGATAAATCAGCTAAAATTAAACAGTTATATAGAATAAAACTGGAAGGAAAAATGATCATATTGTTGCTATCTTGTTAAAAAGTAGAATGCATAAAAATGTTCACGTACTAGGAGGAGTTTGCTGAAAATATACCAGTACCTACTTAGTCCTTTTAAGTAAGTTGTGGAAGATTAGGAAAGTGAAATGAAGTGATATGATGCTTTTATGTAAAACTAATAGGCTTATTTGAAATAGTAATATTGCTCAGAATCAGACCTTTATTCTCTGAAATGGTAAATAAAACTATAACATACAAAAGAGATGAAGACTTAAGGTAATAAAGAACATTGTCTTGTCAGTGCTCTAATAGTTGGATATTGTATTAAAGGAGGAACTCCTGTTAAATAAGGCTCAAAAATAGCTGAAAATTCATGACAATTTTCCCAAATTATTTCTTTACAAGATACCGAAACTATCTTGTACAGGTCTGACCTCATTTCTAGATGACTCTTAGAGGCATAGAATTGCAAAAGATGTGGACCATGAATAGAGTCAAATCAGAGGGAAGGAACTTACAAGATCCCCTAGCCCTGTTCTCACGCAGTGTGATAAATTAATTAATTTCATTAATTAATGAAATAGAAAAGCCTAAATGGAATTCTTTCTCAAAATGATTTGGTATGTTTATACCTTTGTTGTTTGTTCGTTTAACACTAATTTTGGCTGTAGAGTTTCAGGTATGTTTGTTTCATTTAGATCACTTAAATAGAACTAGTGCCAGTTGATTGTGTTATTTTAGAAAGTCAACTAGATGCTGTTTCAAAATAAGTCAGTAGCAAAATTTCTCTGATTATATAAATATCAGATGATGAGCATGTGTCTTTAATCCCAGAGTGACATCCTGGAGTGTTATCCCCTTTACCCTGCTCAGCTTTATATAATGCTCGGGCTGGAATCTTAGCTATCACCAGGCCCACTGTTTAATTTACAGAAGGGGAAATTCCTTCCCCAGGAGGAAGGGGCCCCACAGCCGCTTGGCGGCAGAGTTGGATCTCCTGCCTTCCAGAGCCATCTATCACTCCAGCTGCCTTGGGCCCAGCTTGTGCGTATCAGCTGTTCAGTGCGCTTTGGCTGTGAATCCCAATGTGCTTCTGTCAGCACAGTGGCTGACTCTTGGATTATGAAACAGATTAGCTGAGAGGGGAAATTAAAAAAGAATACTTCTTTGGGGTTTTTACACAGGATAAACTGTACTATAGGGCTTTCATATGGGATTTCTTTAGTACTATTCATATTATTCCATGAAGCCAAAACCTAAGCCAGAAAGCAAGCTTCTTCTTTGTTCTGTAATAAACAATTTAGCTGACTTAGTAGAATATTTGTTTGTACCACAAAACCACCTTCCCCTTGGAGTTACCTCCTCTTCCCTACACACCATACACTGTCGTTCTCTCTCACACACACACTCTCTCTCAACATTAGCCCTGTGCTGGCTGTGTCCAAGACGATGCATCTTCTCAGGCTCATGCAGAAATTGGCCTCCTTCCCTTCCTAGAAATAGTCCCCCTGGTGATGGCGATGTATTTGCCTGGCAGGGAACTAGCACATCTATCCAGGCAGTGTTGTAAACTTGAGCCAACCCTCTCTATTTTCCAATCTAGTTGTAATTATTTTCCTTCTTCTAATCTTTTTTGTAAGGCACTTGAAGTGCTTTGGTCATGCCATGCAAATGGAGTTGATTGTCGCTAATAATAATGCTGTACATGTTCTATGCCAATGATTTGGATCTGCTTGGTTGAATGGGCTATGTGTATTGTGTATTTCCTGCATTGTGAAACCTATGTAGTTGTAGAACCTTAAACATAAATAAAACGTTAAAAATTTGAATAAAATATTTTTCAAAATGCTCCACAAGTACATTATCAGTTCTTCAGCCCTAGATGCCACCTGGGCTCCTGGTATGGGTTTGTTGCATGTACTTTGGGGCTCCATATATGTGCAGGTTAAGGTCTCTCTACTGCTATAATACGCACTCCCCTTGGTATCTTTCTATCAACTCTAAATGCATCCCACTAGCAGAACAAGGCTTTTCCTCCTTCTAATAGGATGTGCCTTTATATCTAAAAGCTACCAAGAAAGGTCAGAGTAGGGGGTTAAATTCACTCAAGGGTGCAAATGGCTAAGGAGAGATCCTTTCTTTTGATAAAAGAGAACCAAGGGCACCCAGGACACTGGGAGAATGGAGACGGGAAGAAAGAAAAGCAGGTAAGTCCACCGACGGGGAGTAAGAGGTCACAGGAAAGAATATAAAAGAGAAACCTGGTCCTTGTTCATTTGTTAATAAAAGATATTGATTTGAAGAGTTCGAGTGAATAAGCTTTCTGTTGTGAATTTAGGTTTAAAAGTCAGTAACTCTTATTTATTTATGCATTCATCAAGCGTGTTTTGGATGTATATTCTGTACCAGAACCTATAATGGACACTGAGGACCTGAAAGTCATGCCCCGTCCTCAAGGAACTTGCATCTAGTGCGGCAAGGAGATGAGGGGAAGACAGTCATAATGCAGAGTGGTATGAAAAGTTAGTTCTAGAAAGGCCAAGAACCTTTATTGCTACCTTATACAAAGATATCTGAATTAATTCTTAAAGATTTTATATAAGTTAATTCAGAGGCCTTCAAGCCTTTTTTGCTCAAAATAAGAAATACATTTTTCTCATGACCCAGTAAATACATACACACGTAAAGCTGAAAAAAAAAATTTTACTATTGAAGTTTATGTTTTATGTACAGTAAACTTTGCTATTTTCCATTCTATTTCTCTCATTCTTTAAAAAATGGAAGTCACAACTCATTAACTTGGTTTAATGACTCACTAATGGGGTGTGGTCTACAGCTTGCAGATGGAATAGACAAGGAAAAGCATCCTAGGTAGATGACACAGGACCCAGGCAAGAGAACACGCCTGCATTACATTGGAGTCAGCATCTGTGGGGTCCCCCTTCCAGTTCCCCATGGGTGTCATCAGCATCCCATCCTTACAACTGCTCCCGTTCCTCCTCTACGTTCTTTAGCCACTCTAAGCCCTCTGCTCACAGTTTTCTGTTCTGGATTTGAATTATTAACTTCCTTCTGTGGTTCTAAATCCACATTTTAAACTGGTAACTCAAACTTTGTACTTTCTTTGACAGTTTTTCCTTCAAAGCCTATATATGACAAATGTTGAGGTCTGCCTCCTGCTCTATTGTTTAAATCTTTTACAAAAAGATTCATCAGAGCATCAGTTCTTTCAT